ATTTGGATTTCGATTTTTACAGAATCGCAGGGCAGATAAAACAAATAAATGATACGCTGGAAATGCATGAAACATTCGTTGTCATAAATTATGACTCTTTGATAAAACAGAGATAATTTTTAGTTTTTTAATGTTAGTAGTAATAGATGATTTCTTGGTTTTACTTAGTAATTGTAATTTATTTAAGTTTTACGTAAAGTATAATGCGGTTGCATGTAATTAAAAAAAGCGCTGAGTTTAGCGCTAGGCGCTTAAACGCGCTTTGAGACATAAAAAGCGCCAGATCTGGCGCGGAAAGCGCTAAGTTGGCAGCACTGGAGCCAATGGTAAGTGACAACTTATTTGACACTTGTTTCTCATATGACATCTTGTTATCGTATTATACTTTAGATATTAAGGAAAATTGGCATTAAAATATTATTTATATCGGTATTGTATTTTTCTTCGACATCAAATGTTTATAAACCAAATATTAAAAGCTCCTGTTGTACAACATATAATGTATTTCATTTACTTTGCTTTAAACAATAATAGCAATAATTTACGTTCGCGACCAGCTACCGTGACCCTAATTGTTTTTTGGCATGCGCCACGGTGTGGTTTACAAAGCCAAACATGGCTTAACTTATTTAATAGTTAGTTTAGTAAGCTTTTAAAAACGGAATTGAGAATTACTCCCACGAATTTAGGTTGAATAGCAGACCTACTTTTATTATGTGGCCTTTTTTTAAAAGACAGAGTTGACAAAATCTTTATTTCTATTACAGCCTTATGTTTAAATTGATAAGTCAGAATTTTATTTATAATCTAGGTGATAATTTAGCAGACTGGCTGATAACGATGAGAAAGTCAATGGCACAATTGGTAGTAAGTTTCGTCTGCGATGCTGAACTTGAGTAACTTTTGAAAGGGTTGTTTCATCTATCCGTTACTAGGTGGCATTACGTGTCCTTTGAATTGCGCTAACACTAAACTACGTGTGCCATATAGGTTATACGGCGTGCAAAAAGGGCAGTCACTGCGGAAGAAACAGACGCATAGCATTTCTTGAAATTATGGTTATGCCGCGAATACAGCGGTGGGACCGACCTAGAATGTTCCAAACTACGTATCGGCCCCTATAAATACGCGGTGGGCTAGCCGTCCTTTCGTGCTTTCAGTGACTAGTGAACTAATTACGAGAGCGATCGGAAGTAAAAACTAGTAAACTATCGGGACGTTCGAATAGTGTTGTTAAGCGAAAGTAGTGACGTGAATTGCGAAGTCTAAGGATTTAATTATTTTTGTAATTTTATTAAATAAATAGTCTGGTTATGAATTTATTTTTATCCCGAACCATAACTCGTAACAACAGATAGAAGACCAAACATTTATTATATCAAGCTTTTCAGTATTTCGAGTGGTACTTTAAGCTGTTGGTCTAGGCTGCATCTACGGTTGTTAACACTCAACAATCCGTACTTGGTTTTTTTTTAAATAAAATGGACGCGATTTTATCTATAAAAAAAGGCCTGTGGTCCAGCTATGGAGAAATTATTAACAGGTTAAATATGATTCTTATGACGAAACGGGACTTTATAGGCCAATTTACGTTATTATCCAAATTTAAGTAGGTAATAATATCATATATGAAACAAGTATCATATATGAAATAAGTTGCTAACTATTATTGATATGTTATGAATAAATTGAGCTATCACGTGAAAATTTGGGAAGTACACAATAGAAATAATGATAGCAAATAGCCATTGATTTTACATTGATAGCAATAGTAGAGAAAAACTATCATTATAAAAACGACATAATATTCATAATACCATTAGTTGCTTAGAATAAATCGATGCAAAGCTACAAGGCTGCCTTTTGTGTGCTGTATTTCATGTTTCTTTTTGTAAAGTATTCTGCTTAAGTACTTTCATTAAATACATAGTTGCCTGATTAAAAAAAAATACTAATTATATTTGCATCAGAATATTAAAAAATCAAATGAAAGGAGAAAGACGATTTTTAAGAATAACAACTTTTAAAAAGAAATTCGTCTGAGTAAGTATTAGAAAACCATGATATTGGAATGTGTAACACTGGAAAATTTGATGTTGTTTTATTTTAACTTTCACAACATTCTATTAGTATTATCTAGTAATGTTCAAATATATTGTGATTTCTAAACATTGTTTTAAGGATGTCAACTTACCATTTTTTTTCTGATAAAGCCATTAGGGCATCAAAATTGTTTTTATTAATTTCATTTCATTATTCCTTAACCGGTGACAACCTTCCACTCGTATTTACCAATCTATCAACCACCAAGATACAAAATAGAACCATTAGTTTGTCTTAAAATTATAACTTTAACTATTTTCTCATTTGCTTCCATTAGAGATAACCTTATTAATTTTACAAAATAAAATTGAACCTATTGTTTACAAAACACCAAAGCATTTATTTTGACACTTGGTGTACGTTCCGAAAGCCGTAATTAACCTTAGAACTTACCTTTACATATTTATATTTTCTTCCAAATTAAATTTCTTTTCCCAATTTTTAATAACAAATAAGTAGTATATGGTCTCCTTTAATAGAATACAATAAATTCATTAAGAATACAATAAACGGCTATTTAGAAAACTTTGTTATAACAAAATTATTAAATCAGACTTCAGGTTTTAGAACGTTGAATTAAGAAAATAAAGCAATAGTGTGAAGTTGTCACCTAGTTATATTCCTTTGTATGCAGGGTTTTGTCAGTTTTTTCATGCATATTTGCATGTGTCCTATAATTTTATTTTCAATTCAATAAAACATAAATATTTTATTTATGTATTTTTCCTATTAAATTTTTAAAGGTCAAAATTTGTAGTCATTGTGTGTTGTCCGTGAAACGGAGTTGCTTCATTTAACAGCTGTTCAGGTCGCTTGAGTCGAATGGAAATGGAAATCGTATTTAAGTCGGAACCCGGCTTTGTCTTTCCTTTTATTCTGCTGATCATCTAAGAGTGAAGAGAAGTCTCTCAAACCGAGAGGCTGTCTGGTACTGGCTGTATTGTACTGGTTGTCTGGTACTGGCTGTATTGTCCTGACTGTATTGTACTGCCTGCCTGGTGCGAGTTGTCCGATACAGGTTGACGGTACCACCAGTAACCGTATGTAAATGCTATATCGCTCCATGTGGATGGGTATCTGTGGTTTGACCCACCTACATTACTGAGCTGAATAAAAAGGAAGACCTGATTGTTTCGCTGTTGAGGTGGATGAAATTTTATTAAATTTATTTAAACAAAAGACAAGCTGAACATTGAGCTGTGCCCAAATATTATTGTGTTTAGTAGCATTAAGTGTTATAAATATTATTTTATGTCTACGAATTATAACGCTGGACAGTGAGACCGTAGGACAACAGACAGCCCCCGGTTTGTTGTGTTGCCGTACTCCTTCTGAGTACGGCAGCGAAGCCAAGGTCAAAATATACCCTTTTATTTTTTTTACTTTAAGGGGGTAACTGGTAATTTGTAATTTGTAATTGGTAATTTGTAATAGGTTAATTGGTAACTTGTATAAAAATTGTAACTGAATTTTAAAATTGTTATTTCAAAAAACTTCATTTATAAATAAATTGTACACAGTTTATATTTCTTATTTTTTTTTTCTTCTCAAACCAAAATAAAGGAGAAATCCGTTACATAATGTTACTTAACAATTCCCGATACCTATTTCTTACTAATGTTCGATGGAAAGAGATAGAATACTACTGACAATACTAATTATCGATTACACTACGGGCATCCCTATCTGCCAGTTAGCTGTTATTCTTGAAAAACGATTGGAATCGACCACGTGATTTTAAATACATAAATTGAATAATAAAATTTCTTAATACCGGTGCCTATCTGACGAGAGAAGGTAATGAAAATATTTGATGGGTAGGTCAATTTGTCCTTTGACCAGCCGTTTGACTGATCCGACGAAATCAATAGAATTAAAATCGAATCACTGACTTTATAACAACTCTGAATAAATCTTTAACAAATCGATTGATTCATAGATATATAAAAAAAATGAAACAAAATCAGATTTATTTAAGTTCCGAAGCTTTTTGTGTAACACGAATTGCTAATGAAGTGCGCGCAGACTTGCTAATTTAAGCTCCATATTGCTTATTCAAGTCAGGCTTTATCTAAAAAGTCTAGCAGATCAGGCGTTCTTTAGACGTTGATTTTTCATAATCAGAACCAATATTTTTATGAACCTGAGAATCTTTTGTTTCTATATCATAAATATTAATCAAATAAATTATTATCTGTCTAAATATTATTTCCATTAATTGAGGCTTATAACTGTATAAAAATAATAGTGTGTTTTTAGTAATTCTCATTAAAATAGAAGGTGAGTTTATATATTAACCAAGTAGTTCTGCAGGTTTTCACTCCTGAAGATAGAAAGATTTTTTTCCGTAAAAAGAAGCAATAGAGTAGCTTTTCCACCTTCGCAATAGCATTCTAATATTATATTTTCTTTTCTATCTGTCATACCGTGTGTGACTGTGAATGTCATTAATATTTTTCGTATTCTTTTATTAATTATAAATTTAAATAGTCGAAAGGAAGAGAAGCATTTGTATCTCGGCGTATATCTTTTGATTGAGCTTCATAATCCCTTTCTCTGCATATTGAGCAAATCTCGTGCTTATTTAGAATTTTAGTTCACAGAGTTATTTGTTATTTATTTTTGGCTTTGTCTGTTTGATGGAAATGAAGCGACAATTTTATTATATTAACATCGAAAGCTTTTGCTAAGTCAATTGTATATTGAGGTATCACCAAACTTCTCGATAACATCTTCGAAATCATTCAAACGCGAAAGAGCATACAAAGTCTGTGCAAGATTGAATTTTATATCGTATGATTGTCTGTTCTGACAGTCCTTAACCGATGATAAGACGATGATATACCGATACCTATAACCGCACCGACACTGATTCTCACATTTTTTACACTTGTACTTGCATATTTAGTCTGTGTCCTCATTTAACGTATCATCTAAATCACATTTCAATTAATTCCTATGATATTCTCACCTGGACAGTTCTCTCCCAGTCCGTATATTCGTTGACAATTGTGAAGAATATTTCACTTAAGTGATATGTGTAGGCGTTTCTCACGTACGTTCTGAAAGAAAACAATTTGTTGCAATAAAATAATAAAGATAGTTTATAAAATAAATAAATATTCAATATATTTCTCGGAACTAAAAAGCTTAAACTTGAATATGGAAAAACGACGATGGTTCCATATTCCGATCAGAGATAATATAAAGTTCGTTTTCTATATTTAGTTTACCGGGAATCAATTAGTCACCTATAAAATGGCAACGCCTTGAAAACAATACAATCGATTTACAATAATATAACTTCACATTAAATAACAAGCAGCCGATAAATTAAATGTTTATATTTTTATGTTATCTGTTACTCTCGTCCAGTCAATGGTATAGGTAATAGGTCTCAGAGTACGAGTATATCAAGTATATAAGTATAATAAAATAGTGAGGTACGATAAAAAAAGATTGTAATAGAAAATATAAGAACAATCAATATCTGGAAATACTATATTATATTAAAAATTATTGCTAGCGGATTAAGTAGGTCGCGACTGCATATTGCTTTCGAGGCGAATATTATACATTGACACGTACACTCTTTTTAAAAGCTGTAATTAAAATCTCCCAAAGCGAAAATCTCTCGGGTTATAACGTACCAAAATAAAACAAATTCTTTCTACATTCCAGCGTTAGAACATTTAATGATGATTTATTCATACAATAAAAGCTTTTGGAAAAACACGTTGGTAGTCTCGAATGCCATGTGTATCTGTGTCAATCAATTAGAGCTGATTACGCAGTTATGGGATGCGAAGACATTTCTGGAAAAAAGCTTGTTAACACCGACTCGTTGCGTAGTCTTTGTAATACGCCCTGTTTATATAAAGGGACTGAAAAAAAAAACCTTTATCCACGTTCTGATTCAGTGTCGCGTTATGAACATGATCGTATTATTTTTGAAAGCTTTTTTTGTTGCGAAAGTCTATATATATCGTGCCACGTGTACTGAACGTGATACGAGAGGTTTCAGAAATATTTTACCTCCTCCCCAAGAATTGTGACACATTCCCAGAAATAAACTTCGACGTTTAAATGTAAGCCGTCGTTGGTTATATTTGAAATGTAATTGAATTCGACTATGATAGAACAAAACTATATCAAAATTGTTTTACGCGATACATTGTGAAATTGCTGCGCATAATAATACTTGGTTTACCGTAACGGTGAACAGTAATGTTGCTATTACAACGTGGAAACAGCTCTGCACATTAATTAGATTATGCGTTATTCAAACAGGTATTAGTAAGGCTGTACCAACACTTACATAAGTAATTAGATTTCACAATAGCTCACTTTGTCTTTCGCTAAATCATTAATTCAACAATAAGCCCTGTAAGATCGTCAGAGAAACTCTCATTACCACCCATTTCCATAAGAGTCTCCATAACGGAACCCTAAGGTCGAACACCAATTTGCTGAATAAACATTGCCCTCACCTTATTATTCTATCCCTCCTCTCGCCCTCAAATCCGTTTTGTATGTCCTGAGCCGAGAATTTCCAAAGGGCCTCACTAGTAACCACTCCGAATAGCAGATCGTATTTATTTTGACCTCCCCTGATCCCGAATATCCTATCGCCGCTCCTTTTATCCGCTTTGAAATTGTTAACTCCGGATACACTAGTGAAACCTTGAAGGTCGTTCGGTATAAAAAATGTTAGCAGTTCTTTAGCATAGTCTGTTTTGACGACAACACCATCTACGGACGGCCCAAAAGCTGTCAAGTAACTTGGTGTACTAATTTCGGCAGACATGAGTTCTTCGAGTGGTACTTCTCGGAGACAATCCACAATTAGTTCATGGTCTTTCACTATATCCTCTGGCAGAGTGCAGTTAGATTGTTTGGCTAGTTGAAGTGAAAAGCTGACGGGGTCTTCTACTAAGGCCCAAGAGCTCAATGCCGATCCAGATAAAAGTATAGCACGATGAAATAAACCTAAAACAAAAATAACGTGTTTATTTTGAATAAACCAGTGAATATTTAATACTTAAGTAACGTTAATGAAATAAAAATATCAAAAGGAACTTTCTCTCGTCACGAAAAGGTAAAATTTTTCTGGATTCAAATTTGCCCGTTGGCAGTGATAAAAGTTTTACTTTATTACATTTAAATAAGAAAAGACAAGTAGAGTCTTCTATTTTCACTGAATGAATATTTTCTTTTGTCATGCAAAATGAAAATCCTTATCATCGTCGCTACAGCCACTATGACTGTATCATATTTTTATTATTCAATATAATTGAAACTGGTAGTAAGTGTATTTACATCGACCTTTTTTTATCTTAACCTTTTTTTCTGATAGCTTTATTATGAAGTCCCTCCCATGAATTGATGGCTTCCAATATTTATTAACATTTGCCATTCTTTCTCTAATACATTAATATTTGTATTTTGAAATTCAAGTTCAAGCTTCAGAATAGAAGCAATTTATCCAAAGTGTTTATTGACTTACCAGGCATTACGGTTGGAGATATCATGAGGAAATTAATACATGCTGCACCAGAGCCGTGTCCAAGCATCGTAACATTTCCAGCATCTCCGCCAAATAGTGCTATGTTTTGCTGCACCCAATGAAGAGCAGCTATTTGATCCATCAAACCATAGTTGGCTACTCTTGCCTTCAAGTGAGGGATTGGGTTGGCATTGAGGAAGCCTGATAAAGATTAGAAATAATTTACAAAATTGCAAATTGCAAAAATTATGAATAATATTGCTTAACTCTATTTTTTTACAAAAAGGTACCATTTTTACATTGCAAAATTTTTAATTCCTTTTATTTAAAGTTCCCGTTGGGAGCTATCACCATGGAGCATGACTGGGTTTAGCTAGTGTGTATTAATTAGCGCGACTCGTAGAAGAAAAAGCAATTTGCAATTTTTGCACTCGGCATTCAAAAATTGGTATGACTTAATTTCGCTTCATCGAATATGAACTCTAATGCTTTAGGCGACGTCTGAAAATATTTTCAGATGATTATGAAATGTGGAAAACTCGACAAGAAATGTTTAATTAAGCAAAGTGAGACGTGACGAAGTCATAAGACGCCAAACGGCATTTAGTAATTACATCGAAGAAAAATAAAAACTAAACTAACACAGCATTTACTGGAAGTGCTGTGGAAATGGTATAATGGATATTTAATTAATGATTTCATTAAACATAGGGTTGTACATTAAATAAAATACGAAACAATAAGTTTCGTATTTTATACACTAAGTCAATATATTTTTATGGTTCACTTCGGTTTTCGAAATTCCTTTGTTAGTCTACTTTTTTTTTAATTCAGGATATCAATCCATTTTTTTTTTATAATGATAAAAAGATACACGTAAGGGAATATACACCAAGGAAAAACGACACTCTATTTGATTTAAGATTGAAATCTATTTATTAAGAAAAGGGTGAAATCTATTAATTGTGATATCCAAATGTTCAAATGCCATTGCTCAGATTCCAAGATAAGCTAGTCTTAGTATTGCCAGGTATCTGAAACGATGAAAGTACGATAACGTTTAAAACCGGCACAATAGAGAAAAGTAGATACAATTTGATCCGACCCAAAATCGAACACTAGATCTCGGATATCTTGAAAGCCGCTAGCGAGCCACTAGGTTTAGGAGATCAATAAAGTATACTTATAAATTAATTATGATTTATTTGCGAATTCTTTAATGATGTTCAAGTAATCCTATGAGTGTAATTTTTTTTCGGCAGTTTACAAGAATTAGTTTTACCTTTTTAGATCAGTGGTTTCTTACATTTTCAATTTGTTACCTTTATGGTCTAAATCTGATTAACCCGAACTTTAAAAAGTTTTTAATACAGTAGTTATTGATGTTGGGTTTAGTTTCGCTTGAAGCATGTCTTAATTCGTGTAACATATTATGACAGTTTTATTTACCCATACCCCGCTAGTAACCTATAGGTTAGCAACCATTCATCTAGACTTACGCTCAACAGTGAACGTCGGTTAGCTGATGATGATCTAGAGACGTTCACTGTCTTACTCAACTTAAAAGTTGAGTTTAATAACAATGCCAAGTTCTAACTTAAAGTTGCCTGCTGATTTATGACGCTATTTAAGTTTACGTCCCTTAGCGAGAAACGACATGACACGCGCAAGTTATAAATGGACTTGGTAGTAAAAGTGATGCTGGCTTGCCGTATTCATCCACGTAAAATGGATATCACAAAATGGAGGCTTAAGAACTATAAAAATATTCGGTAGATTTTTTAAATTATTTTTTTTTTCAAGATTATGCAATGCATGTTTGCAAGTATGGGCATAATATGAATATATGATTTTTTTTTAATTGTTATGCAATGCATGCTTGTCATGCTTTTCTTATTGCATCTTTTAAACTTGATTCCTCTCGCTTTTGTCGTCAAGCTGATTTTACAACTTTTGTAGTGTATTTTTAATGGTTTAAACATTGTTGTAATAATATTTTAACTGGTTGTGTATATTTATATTGGCCTGTGGCTGTTTTATGTACCAATTAAATAAATATTTAGATTTAAAGTAATACTTATTAAATTAGAGGGTAAATTAATTAAAAATCATTCGTATATGGGAAAAAATGTAATCAGTACATGCAAAAACTTAATAATGTGATAATTACGGTACACAATAATCACCTTTGTTTTCTCTCTTTTCAATGCTACTAAAATCGGAGATGGGTGATTCCGCGGAAACTCAACTTCCTTTTTTACCCAACCCAACGTTCTTACCATTCTTCAAAAACAATTAATATTGCAGTCAATATTCATTGTTTTTGAAGAATGGTAAGAATGGTATAGAATGGAATAAGATATCAGTATATCTTATTAAAATTCGACGACATCAGAGTCTTCTACGATATCAGATTCTATATAGACTTTAAAATAATATAAAAATATATCATAGTCAAGGATCATTACTTTTGAAGAATGGTAATGATAATGCATCAATCCGGAAGTACGGTTTCCATATATCATCATCATCATCAGCCCTTTTACGTCCCCACTGCAGGGGCTCAGTCCTTCTTTATGGATGGTTAAGGAGGATTGTCCATGACCCTCCACGCTGGCCCAATGCGGATTGAAGGGTATTAACGACAGCAAATGCAGCCGGGACCAACGGCTTAACGTGCCTTCTGAAGCACGGAGTAGCACGAGATAATAAATTTTTGGTCACCAATCCCGTGACCGACCCTTGCGAAAGTTGCTTAACGACAACGATCGCGGGCCGCGGCGCTTATCCACAACGTCACCGAGCTACTATAGCTATATCATTATATATTAGCTCCGAACGTAAAGATACTATTGATGGTATATTTAAGTTATACTATCTATAGTCTTAATTTTATAGTTGTTAGCGATAATCGACAGGCTATTCTATTTCACGGGGCAATGTACGACTAAAATATCGATCAGAAAGAAAAACCAGAAGCTACATGAATATTTTTTTACTGTACCAGGCACAATAACAGTTGATCAACGAGTGAAATGTCACTGTTACACGATACATGTGGTGATATAAGACTCTTTGTAACAACTAAAAGGGGTCGACACGAAAGTTGCCTATGAAACTTACAATATTTTTTGTTACACGACGGCTTTAGTATTTTCTCAAACGCTAGAAAAAGCTTTGGTTGATTTAATTTAATAAAAAAATATTTATTTTTGTTACTTTATTTTTTATTTATGCAGCGATTAAAAGTAGGTTTTACTTTTAAATCGATATAGATAGACTATGTACAATTAATTTGATGAACGAAATAATAATTTAACGAAGTATTTTAAGTACATAAATAACACTTATTTAACAATAGGCGGCATTATTGTAAGTTAAAAATTGAACGTACACAATTTACAGGTATTTAAAAGGCAATACGTGTCCTGACTGAGTAAATATCGTCTAATAAAGGAAAATAAATTAATATCACATTGTATAATATTGTTTTTATAAACTTAATTAATTTTATACGTTTATCTATACATGATAAGCAAAACATAATACGGGTGTAGACAGTAAACGAAAATAAATACATTTTTTTTTTGGCAGTGTTAAATATAATATTACCGATAATCACACTTTTATGCTTATTATATTTATAATATTACTTTAATTAATTATGAAAAACAAATATTTTATACTCGTTGTCACGTGACCGCAAACAGAGCGTGACGTCACACCTCTCTTACTCATATCAGAATTTAGAAAATTCAACCTTATGCATACATAGACCGATATTAGTTTCAGAGGGCCGTGACGTCGTAGCGACGCAATGACAGAAGTGGTGTGTCGGAACTTCTGTCGGGAAAATTAGAAAATAAAATTTACGAGCATATTTAGATTTTAACTTATTATATGAATGAGAATTTTTTAAATATTTTTTGGGATGGGTGACCAAAAAAATATTATCTCAAGCTACTCCGTGCTTCGGAAGGCACGTTAAGCCGTTGGTCCCGGCTGCATTTGCAGTCGTTAATACCCTCCAATCCGCATTGGGCCAGCGTGGAGGGTCTTTGCCCATTCTCCTTAATCATCCATAAGGACGGCCTGAGCCCCTGGAGTGGGGACATAAAAAGGGCTGATGATGATGATATTTCATGTATATCTATAAAATAATATTATATAAAAAGTTGTTTACACAACTCTCAAGACTGACATAATAATAGCTCAGCGACTAAGGTCTTTAAATAAAAAATAAACAGGTAAAAAGCGTATCCTATTTCTCTGGAAACAATAGTTGTAGTAAAAAATAATTGGAGATTTAATGTGAAAAGGTAGTACCTATCTAAAAGTATCTCAAGAGTTGGAATATGAGTACAAATTTCTACTTCTCGTTTCACCCATCGGAGGGATGAGTTCCAAGATAAAAACAACTGTACGTCCTTCCCACGGTCTTACATTAAGTTTGTTTTGTTTTGTCAAAATTTGATCTAAATGAAAATGTAAAAACGTATTAATTATATTAGTAAGAACATTCAAAAATTAAGAATTTCGGAATTGTTGTTGATTTTATTTTAATTTTTTAAATGACACTGTAATTATTCAAAACAATAAACAAAGTGAAGTTACATGAATTTCAATTTATTAAACGACAACCGTATTTTTATATTTGCGCAAATTCTAAAAAAACAATTATAAGAAAAATCGTCCGTACGTTGACATCATAAATTCTTGACGGCTCAAAATAAAATTATTTGAACGCCAACTGAAATTACGAGAGCTAGAAAAAATACTTATACCGGAGAAAATTAGGAGGACTTTAATTTCACGAAATGAAATTGAAATTTTTTTTTTTCATAGAAATTCTACTTCGTGAATTCTCAGAAGAATTAAATTAGTGTTTAGGGCTATATTTTAATAGACTAGGGAATAAGAAACCTTTCATTATGAAGCATTCAATGAATTAACAGATGATTGTACATTTTCATTAATCGTGTACCGAAGTCGAAGGAACAAAGGAACCAGATCACGTGGTAGATCATCCATGCGATGGGTTGACCAAACAAAGTCAACAGTTGTGTCGACAAATGCATGGCATGAAGATGGCGACATATCGTGAGAAGTTCTACATCAGCCACCAAAGATGATGCTCCCTCATAATGACCACGATCGCTCAGTCAAAAACAACACGATCGAGATGAATTGTGTATCTTGCAGTCTTGTATTAGTCTTTATTGAAAAGTAAACTAAGGGAAATAGTTTTAAGTGTTTTCTCGATTAACGTTAGATTTTCATAAAGTTGATGAATGAGATAATAAATAAACTTTCTTTACAATAATGGCCCTGAACTAACCAGGGAAACCATTTGTGACTAATATTACCAAACAAAAGATAATGGTATATTTTTGTCATACACTATCTAATAATTCTACGGCCTATCTTAATACTTTTGAAATCAATACCGAAATACTTTTAATAAAAGTTTTCAGACAATTATGTGTTAAATTCGATAGTTCAAAACATATTGAAGTATCCAATGAGCTCATCATTGAACGGTGAAAAAAAAGTGGTATCCTCAACCTCTTAGTGCTTTGGAAGGCACATTAAGCTATTGATTCTCCGCATAGTCGGTTATGTGATTCTATCCACAGGTAATGTCTATACTTTATGACACTATCTGAGAATTTGCGTCAGATTTCAATGTCTTCAAACTTACCAAGTATACCAAGCCTGTAGTTAATGGTGATAACGACGACACCAGCATAGCTCGCCAGAACGGCACCGTCGTACACGTTACCAGAATTCCATTCGAATGATTCACCATGTATGAAGACAACAACAGGATACTTCGCTTGCAAAGTCGGACCGACTGTAACAAAGGAGATTGTTAAAGTACCTATTCTATTGTTTTTTTTTAGATAATATTAATATAGGCGTATGTTCTTCGCAGATTTCCGACTCAGTTAAAAGTTGGCGAAATATCCTTGAAACAACATCGTGGTACAGTATAATTGCTGCAGTAAATAAATCAATCTGTTTAAAAAATATATCCTCACGATAAGCTTAAATGTACTTAAAAGTCCTTTGAACTTAAACTTTAAATGTGATAAAAATATGGTTATAAAGGAAGCCTTCGACATGTAAATGTATAACGTCAAAGCCTCTTTGTCTATTATAGTTAAATTGCACTATGATGCTCATGGTAAGATTCAAGTATATAATAATTGAAAAAAAAAAACAGTTAATATACATTTGTCCATTGGTATTATTACCACAGTAAGTAAATTAGAAAGTAAATACACAAGCTTTATATTTATCTATATTTTCACGCTGAATGCCCTGTGGGATAGGCCGAGAAACCAAGCACTATAAAGGCTTTGTACTTGTATGATATCATTAATTTCAGCTGTTTGCTATAAAGAGTTAACAGTATTTTCATTTCAGAAGTAAATTGTAAATAAAGCGGAAAATAACTATGCTATTAATAAAGCGTATAAACATTCAATTAACCCCTTTCAACAAATCAAACTCATCAATCCAATGACTTCAGTAAATAATATTGAAATTAACATAGAAATTAATTTCGCTTCATCGAAACTATCACAACAATTTTCATAATGAATGGATGGATAACGAATTTCTAATTATTGGTTAATTACTTTCGGTTTGTGATTTTTAATTACTAAAGCTTATGTAAGCTAGAATCTTCTGTGATTGTTTTGTATTAGCAAGAGAATTTTATAGAAATTGAATTAAGAAATGGTACCTACTGACATTACTGTAAATGCCGATTTTTATTGGAAAAGTAATAAGAAATTTTAATTTTTTCGAAACCTTACTTATGATATTACTAGTTTATAAATCGAAGACCTCAAACGAGCAATGAACCTTTTTTGATTTCACAAGAATAATATTCATCATAAACTGCCTGTGCCTACGACTTCGTCTGCGTGGGATATTAGGAGAATTCTTTCTTTCTATGGATGGGATCGGGTCGAGTAGGATCAATGGTCCATAACTCACCCCGTTGGCCCAATGCAAACTAGCCGGGACCAATGGTTTAACTTGCATTTGCAAATTCAACTTGATAGTGCATAATCTCCCCGCGATCGGCAGTTCACGTCCTTCAGGTATCTCTTATGACCGAGCGCTTTCTATCCGAATAAAAGATAAATTATTTCAATAAAAGTCTTGTGGTTGGTGCATGTTTGACAGAAGATACGTGGCGTCTTATTTGTTGCAGAACGTCAGAGATCTAAAAAAATAAGTGTTATTTAATTTGAACTTGCATTCTCCACGGGAATCGTGTATTAACACATACTTCCGTCAGACGCTTGACTGGGCTCCGTCATATTTGCACCGTTGATATTGCATTGACACTCATGAGCGGTGAATAAACCTGTATCTCCAGTGAAGACATTAGTCTTATTTTCAAATATCAACTTTAAAGTGAAGCGATTTGTGTGTAAAAAAAAAACAAAAAGAGTAACATAAGACTATTAAGAGGAAAAAAAATATTGGGTTGGCACAAAAGTAATGAGACACACTAGAAAAATCTATAACATTTCCTTTTTAAAATCAATTTTTTCGATAATATTCTAGAATGTTGTAGAACATTCTAGGTACTTCTGGTGTAGGGTATATAAAGCCGCGCTCGCGATTTGTTTGGTCAGTTTGAAGAAAAATGGACGAGCGACAAGTTCGAACACTATACTTATACGAGTACTTGTTAGGCCACAGTGCGCGGGCTGCGGCTGACAATATCAACAATGCATTAGGCGCTGGAAGTACAAGCCATGCGACGGTGTCCCGATGGTTTGACCGTTTTAAATCAGGAGACAGGAGCCTTGAAAGTCAGCCACGCTCAGGGCGACCACCCGCAGTGAATGATGACGATTTGCGCCGCGAACTGCAGTTGAATCCGGATGCTACCACTCGTGAATTAGCGGAAGCACTTAAATGCAGTCACCACGCCGTGGAACACCATCTGCATGAGCTTGGTTATCGAAAAGTTTTGGCTCGGTGGGTACCGCACATCCTTACAGACGCCAGTCGTGCAGTCCGTGTCGCTATCTGTCAGTCACTTTTGCTGCGACCCCGATGTAAAGAGTTTTTGTCAGATCTGGTTACTGGAGATGAATCATGGATTTATTACGAGAACGATACACGTCGTGCTTTTTGGCTGCCTCGAGAAGAAACGCCACCAACTCAACCGAAGCCGAGTCAAAAGAACCGCCGAAAAATTCTGCTTTGCTGTTTCTGGGATGCGCAAGGCATACTGTTTTATGAGCTATTACACAATGAAACTATAAACGCTGACAAATATTCAACCCAGCTTACCAAATTATCTGCCGCTATCAAGAAAAAACGACGAAGACGAGTCAATGTAGTTTTACTGCACGATAACGCTCGACCTCACGTCGCATCTGTGGTTCGCCGGCAGTTAGAGAACTTGGGCTGAGAGACGATACCCCACCCACCTTATTCCCCAGACCTCGCCCCATCAGACTATCATTTGTTTAGAGCCCTGAAACAGCATTTGCGGGGTAAACAATTTAATGATTTCTCTGACGTAGAGGCGGAGTTGAACAACTTTTTCGAGGCACAGCCATCAGAGTTCTGGGCAAAAGGCATCCAAACTTTGCCGGATCGTTGGCAAGAAGTCTTAGATACTAATGGTAATTACATCATTGACTAAACTTTTTTATTGTAATAATAATAAAAAAGTAAAAACTTAAACCAAGTGTCTCATTGTCTTGTCTTGTTCCAGAACAGTGTAAACCCAGATTAGGTTCACGATGAAATAAAGTTTCTGTAACACGTAACCTGGCCCAAGATTCCCTACGTCTCGCTGTACGGTCTTCTTAAGAATGTCATACTTTTAGCAGTTTTGAATTTAGGTACCTTCCTGTCGAAACTAACTGCTAAGACGTGAACCTAACTTTTTTTAACGTCGAGGAAATGCTTCTGGCACTGTCTCTGTTACCTGGTAAGCAACAGGGAGTGAGTAAGCTGCCCAGTGGGTCCACGCAGGCCTACCCATCAAAACCTCTACGAAACCACCTCTCGTTGGAAATGAGACCCGGGAAGCCGTGGCTGAGCCACCAGGACACTCAAGTATTGGACGATTGGTCCCCTCGCGAATGGCGAGGCTCGGGTACACCGAGAACCTCTCCTAGACAAGTGAGACCCTGTAGTGCAGGGGTGGTTGCAACCACCTTCGTTAGCCTCGAGGACGTGGATCTAACCCTATAAAATTTTACTATCGAAAACCTTACATGTGCGTTCACTGTGAAGTACTCGATGCTAAAATTGCAGCAGCGCAATATTCTTTTCGCTTGATCTCATTCTCGCGTGATTGTAAACTACATATCCATTATCAGCTGAACCCTAGTTCATAAAGTTACATTGGAATATCGAAAATTTTGGAAACTTATTTTTTTATTCATCATTATGCAAATTATCATTTTCCAGACACTATCAATACATAGCTCGGTAGCGCAACGGATAAGCGCTGCTGTCCGCGAATGTTGTTAAGCAATTTTCCAAAAAGTATTAAATAGAGGCCTGAGCACTCTACAGTAGGGATATAAACGATCTGATAATGATAATGAATACATTAAAGACTAAAATTTAATAATACAGTTAATTTCACTGCAATTTTGACTAACATAATACTCCAAATTGACATGACTTTATTTATTTATGAACCGATTGAAATAATTTGAAATTGAACCACACACTAATTGCTACAATGCAATAGTGAAATCTGTATTTAAATCTGTCCAGTCGTTTTTGAGATTATCGTGTACAAACGCATAGACAAACAGACAAATTTAAAAAAAAATAATTGTTTTGTGTTTTTTTACGTTTTGAAATGCCCCTCATATATATATTTTGATAGTATATAAGATATTGGTCGATTAATATGTATAAGCATATGTACAAACATAAAGTTGAACATGTGAATGAACGACACTGACATTACATTTGAAAATTGAAATCGTGTCTGAAAATGAATTCCTATTGCAAGCACAAACCTCGTCGAGGTTTTCTTTGTCATTTCGCCCCGTTAAATTTTAATATTTCATGTCAATAGTGTTCATTCAGAGAATAATGAATCTTTAGGTTTCGCTTCACCAGCTGGGAATTTTCATCACAGTTGACAAAAGCTTTTCGCCGTTTGCTGCCATAATGATCTTTGCTTAAAGCACATGGGACAATATTATCTGCAGTTTTTGTTACTTAATATCTTATAGTTCTTACGTAGGGTATGCTATGGAATGTTTAATAATGTATCTTATATTATTGTTAATGTCCAATAAGCCTCTACATTATTTGCCATTAGTATTTTAATATTTCATTTTCGTGCTAAAATGCTATAATGAAAATTAAGGTCATATTTTAGTTTACTTCATACAAACCAGAGACAAAATAATATTGACTGTTGAGTTGTTTTGCTGCATTTTTTTGATCTGCGAAGCAATAATCTAATTTTTAGTCTGACTCAATATCCCTATAATTGCCTAAAATACTTACAATAAAATTTTAAGTTGCAATAGTTTGTAGATTCCATCATTGTGGTAAGATTATTGATAAAGTCTCTTGACTGATTTCTCTGGTGAAATTTAGTTCACTCATTTACACAATAGACATGTTTGTTTACTTACTAACGAACAGAATCTCGTATGGTGACAAAAGGATGCCCTTTGTCTTTGAATACCTATACAGATCTCCTACAATTGAGTCTTTTGTTATAGGATTAATGAAGTATGATCGATCTTTCGAGTAGACCTTATAAGGATGGTGTAAATTTAAATTCTATGGCCGGTGATTGGAATTTGAAGTTTCAATTTCTGTCTTCAGTAAGCTCGACGTTGATAAAGGATTTACTATGTATAGATGTAACTACATTAAAAATATAAGCGAAAGATTAAAAAGTAATATCCAGGTTAGAATTATGACAAAGATAAATTTTGACAGCTTACTTAAATAAGACTTTACACCTGATACTTTGAGAAACGTCAGAGTATTTCATTGTAATCATTTAGCTACAGAAATGAGGGAGCAATCTATTCATTATAGATCTATATCAAAGTGTAATGAACTACCTAACTAATTCTATCACGATGTTCAGTAGTCCATATTGCTGCAAAATTTTAGTTGAGTTCTTGGATAAGTAATCAATTAGGAATTGATTGATTGACTTTTTGAAACAAATCTACAGCATAATTAATTACGTGTTCCTCATTATCTTAATTTTTTTCCGATCTACGGTTAAATACTTACAATACGTGCATACAGTTCCAAAGGTCTTTTAATTCAGTTCACAAAGAAATATCATACAAAGCGTTCCGTTCGCATGTTGCCTTCACTTTGCTATCTACTTCTCGCATGACAGATTCTCGCTCGTCAGATAGACGTACTTTGGCGAGGCTCCAACGGATATGAATTATGTTTTTCTCATTGGATTCCGATGAAAATGCTTTTATTGTTTAATGGAGGCTTTTGAGGATATTGTGTTGTCGAATAAACACCATTCACATTTGGTACAAAGGTTTAATTATCGTGTATGAAAATAAAAATATTTATTTCTACGAAAATGTTTATAGATATAAAAAATCAGTGATAGCATTTTTAAACATATATTTTTTAAATTATTATCCCTTCACGTCTTTTGAATGACTACAAAAATGGATTCAAAAATGTGTCTGCTCTTAATAATATAAATACAAACCTTTTAGTACTTGCAAAATTAAGATTTTTATTATATTATAATAATTCTACAGGTCAGTTTTCCTACGATTTTATCTATACCGTTATTTAGATATTAAAATTATCCTGAGTCTATACCGAAATTATAAATGTAAAAAATCGAAATCTTTCTTATTGGTTTTTAAAGAAGCTATAACAAAGCCATGATTTTTTTTTTTTTTGTAAAATATAACAAACATATTTTTAATGAGCAATTTTACACTTCGCTACAATTTACTTTTAGGGCAATACTCTCCATTTTTGTCAAGATAAAACGTGACATATATGTTCCGGCGCTGCTGTCATTTGTTTTCCATTTTCAACGTAATGGTTACCTTCAGTACAAATCTGTTTCCGAGCCATACACCTGTATCCCACGGTCGAGTGAACTAGAATGTTGATCCTTTCTCAAATATCGATTTGTTATATCGAATACTCGCTTGGGTTTATTGTTTTCTATCACAGCAAAACGATATTGCTAACACAATAAATATAATGCATTGTTTAAGCTACTGAGAACATAACTAAAGTTTGGTTAGTTTACTCATTAGTTTTATATCGATAGAAGCGGAAAGTATATAGATATGGCGATCTTAAAGCATTAACAACATTGAATTCGTGGAAAGAGCCCGCTCAATGTAAGAAATAAATTATTATGATATCAAAGAGTCCCTGAATTGTTCTAAAATAATAACATTTCAAAATGTAATGTACTTTGTAATTAGTTGGTATAAATAATGTGCTCTAAATGCGCCAATTAATTATAATGTTTGGTGATACACTGTTATTATTGTTGACATTTAGAAAACTTTACTCAAAGCCGTCACACCCTTACAGTTCACATGTATTATGCAAACTCGTCCTACTTTAAGACAACTTGCTAGAAAGTTTGATGTCGATATTTTAAAATGTGCCTGTTTAAGCCGAACATTTAAAGCCTTCTAATGATTTATTTATTAAGTTTACTTAATCATCACCTAAAATTATATAATATGCTTCTATTACTCGACAACAAAGACGCCATGTCGTTTCCAGCTTATTCAAATTTAAGAAATGCACCAAAAGTTAGTTTAAAAGTTAAACCACTTTTCATTTCAGTATCGAAGGGCGGTTATTACACAGTTTTAGAGATATGAAGGCATCTTTGAAAGAATATCGAAAATAAAGTACTAATTAATTAAATTATCTTCGAATTGCTTCCATAGTTTATTTTATTCTGTGTAAAATGGATAAAAATATTGTATTGACTAGCTATTCTACTAGCCCTTCATTTTTATACAAAATAGCTCGACATCAAAACTTATTTCATTCAATGGCTAATGTCAATCAAACGTAAGCAAAAAGAAAGATGCTTAAAAGCGGTTTTAAGCATATTCTTCAAATTAATTTGATATGATATTATTGATTAAATATTCTCAGGAGACAATTTTTATTAAAGAAAAATATTACACATTCTTTGTAAATAAAATATGTCTAAAATAATAAAGACAGGATCGAAAGCTAACATCAAATCAGGAACCTATTGATATTAATAATCTCTGACTTTGTGTGCTTAGCTATATTTATATATGGCTTGACAATACGGATACTAAAACAAGAACTATGTTGTTTAATGTTTTTATCAATACAGGTGACATTTCAACGGTATTCTTTATAGAAACAGTTTGATAGTTATAGTTAAATGTCCACACTACTTTATGGAACTGATTTGGGTCCTATTTTATATACTTTTTATTTCTTTTAGAGGCTCACCTAGTCTTGAAACTGAAGATGTTATCAATGAAAATAATCGGCTTCTTTATTAAAAACGGTGCTTAAGATCTTGTAAAATGTATATTTAATTTTTATTTCAATGTAATTAAATGCAAATAGATTTTTTATTTAATTACTACTGTAATTGAAAACTGATTATCTAATACATACCTTGAACAGGCGTGTAAATATTCATGTACAAGCAGTCCTCGCTTTGATTCTTTAATCGAGGCAGCAATCTCCTGAGATACTCTAATCTTCCTTTTGGCATCTTCTCTAAGACCAAGGTTTCGTTGCTGATGTCTGGCAACTTTTGCGGACACACTGGGCCCATTTGGTCTACTGTTTTTACGTCGTCCCAGGGCGCTGGTGCTCTTGTTGGTGCAAACCTTATGATAAAATATTTTATATTATGAAACTGACATATGTAGATCTACAATACATGAGGTTATATAAAAAATACACTAAGAGTTTAGTATAAGGATTTTGTAAAAATGTTTGCACGCTCGTGAATGACTATCAAACATATGCAAATAGGTGCTATTCTCATATCCAAACCCATTTGCGCTTCTAAGGTTTTTATTGATCAACTTAAAAAATAAATGTATTTTTATTCTGTTCCTGATTGACCAGCATCTTGTGAAGTGGGGATATTATAGGTTTCTTAAAAATAGGAGATTATCAATTGAACCGTATGTTTTCATGTATGTTATACGATATTTTCATCAATGGTTGACTTATTTTGATAGGGATATCTTTTGTAATATTCTGAAAATAATTTCATTGAAATGTCACGTGGATCAGACGATTTGATGAATATTTTTTATGTATTCGTTTGTGATGACGACTTATAGTATTATTTTTTTTAAATACACTAATAAACACAAGAGACGGTTAAAATATAATTAAAAATCTTTAATAGCTTGTTTATACGAACCGGCGCAATTCGAAAGACGTTACTTGATTTTTAAACTGCATTGAAGTCCGTTTTTATTGTTTTGCAAAATTAAAATGTTTTTGTATTGTGTTGATAATAAAGGTGCAAACCTTTTAGATTTACAAAAAAACTGCTGATCCAAAACACTATAAAAGTTTTATGGGACTGCCATGGGGGTATACCCTTTCAAACTAAATAACATTGATCCGTCCCACATTGATGCTGGTGCAAAACATATTATGTAAAGACAAAACGTACAGACGGAATTTGAAATCCCGCCTTTTCTGAAGTTGATTTTCAATCTAATTGATTTATTACTTTTTTATTTTTTTTATCTATCATACTCTTCATCCCATATTCCTTACACGGTAAGTAAACAAGAATTGCTTTTCATTTTTAAAAATAACATCTACCTTTGAGTATTTGTCTACAGTAAATTGGTTTTCTATTATACTCGTACTATTTCTATTACTTTGTACAAAATTGTTCTTTGACTATGTTCCAAGATATCATTCATCAATATTACGTAACTATCAAATCAAATATTATAGGTTAGACCATGAAAAGAAAAAGAAATAAACGATAACCTCCAAGAAACGCCGATTTAGCATTCATAAATTGCTGCCGAAACATTTTCTTCGCCGAAAGCGATTCTATTTGGGTGAACATTCCTGCTACGGCATTGATTTGGACAAAACTATCGAACTTCAGTATTATATATTTCAATTCTCTTGTGTTTATTTTAATTTCAGCAAGAGAGTTTGATTCATTTGCAAAGATTTTGGCTAAAATTTATAAATGACAGCTCACTTAATAAAAAAATGGAAATAATACGAATGTTATAAGATTATGTAATCAAAACATATCAAAAATGTACCTCGAATTCAAAACAAATCTTTTCAAGTATTATAAAATTATTAGTAATTCAATGTAATTTGTAATCAATATGCATAGTACCTGTTAGAACCAGTTGGAGGAGTAGCGTATGGTACACCTAGGTACGCCTCAACTGGCTTCAAATATTTATGTTGATCCATCGGCAGTATAACACCCTGGAGTTTGCCGTATCTCGTGCCAATCACTCTGGTCCTCAGCATCGAATTTCTACCGCCGAAGTTATTTCCGCTCGAGTTTTGCGTCAGCAATAATACTAACAGTAAAACTAATTTGAATCTCTCCTTCACGTCTAAATTCAATTTCTTCTTTAACTTCACTTGCGTATCCCTCTTTATTAAATCTATTGTATGCTTTAAATGAATCACTATATTTACCCAGTACTGTTTTATTGAATTGCAAAGGTGTAGTGGCAGTCTATCGGTAGCCATTTTCTGTAAATATCACCTTTGCAGCCCCATGTCTTTATTCAGTCTGTAACGAATAAGGGGTCGATCTCATCGGTTTCGAAATCACGCCATTTTAATTAAGTTTCCCTTTTCGATTAGGACAGCATTTTACTAAGCACTCCCAATTTTGCACCTGTAACAAGAGAGCAACGTTTCAGAAACTAACAAAATGAGGTAAAATATTTTACTTATCGATTGGTTAGACCATAGCGGCACAATCAAAGTTCAAAGTTCTTGTAAGTCGGTAAATAGCATATATATTGTGAAAATGCAATCGCTTCAAATCATTTGTTGCTGTTATATGTTTTATTATTCAACGTATCTTATAAGGTTGTTGAAGCACAAATCAAAGCTAGTATCAATGGCATAGTGCTTCATAACTATAATCAACTCCGCATAAATCGTTTGACGCTAGCAGTAATTAAACATCACTATTTATTACGAAGAAACAGCAGTTAACGTTATACAATTCGTTATTTATGCTGGCAATTTCTTGTAAATTATTAGAAAAGTTATTGAGTGAATTTGTTGTATGCTTCTTTGTGTGCGTCGCCAACGAGACACTCGCCAATTGACCTAATTAAAGTATAAAGAACTGCAATTCTTATAACACAGCACATTAAAGTTTGTTAAATAAAAGCTTTTCTGAATTAATATACATAGCAGATAGCAATGAACTTGCATCAGTGTCGTGTAGAGTTTTGAGATTCAAGGTCGTTATGTTTATATAAAAAAAATGTGAAGTGAATGTAATATGCTTGTCAAGGTATCAAGTATAAGTACTATCAACATTAATATCTTTAGTAGAATTTATGTCATTTATTAGCTGTGTTCCCGTGGTATCGCCTCTGTTAGCCGCATATGATTCTCGTGGGTATTTGAATTTCTAAAAGCGGAGGTGATTCAATGCAAACAAAAAAAAAAATCAATCAAATCTTATATATCTCCAGTTCCATTTTGTATTTGTGCCAGTATAAATGTATATTTGCACAAATGGTCATCGAAAGACGTTGGTTTTATGAAAGCGATAAATTTATCCATGAAGCGCGAGATAAAACGATAGAGCTCATTTGAGCAAGACGTTACTTCAATTTTAAACTTACTATAAAAATTGAGTTAAATTTTTAATGAATACATAAAACTTAACTTGTGTTATTTTGTTTCATGACTTACCATCTCTGGTCTGACAAGTTAAGGGTTCGGCGATTTATATCAATTAAATGCTCAACTATAAGTAAAAAATATTGATGCGAGAAACAATAACATAGCATTAATTACAACATCAGTTGAACAGCGCTAAAAGAATTATTATGAAAATGTGTATGAATTTTTTCGAGCGCTAAATACCGTTGATCTCAACCGTGAATTTCACCCCAACAATGTAGTAATACCGGATAAGCCCAGCCCTGTTTGCTCGTTAACTTGAATTAATTATAGGGAAAAATTGTGTACCCTTTTTACAGCATATAGATATTCAATCAGATAAAAGCCGAGGCTTGGGATTTTTTGCAGCGCAATCCTTTTGTTGTAAGCGAAATGTTATCCACAAATCCTCTTTGTCTTTTTTCGTATGTGGTCATGTTTCGGTTTGGATATTTAATTCATAAACTGTCTTTAATTAGTCCAGAGGAATATTCCAACAACGAATTTGCAGTTATTAATCAAGAGATATTTTATTTTTCCGTCCTTAGTTTTAATAGTCTTTAAGGATATTTCACAAATGTCAAAGTTGATTCTGTAGAAAATATTAAGCTTATAATGTTTGTTTATGTTACAGAACTTTTTAGCTGTATTTATTATTTCAATAAAGAATAATTTAATAAGTATTTTTATCATCGGAATAAAAAGAAAATGAAAAGTTACAAATATCAATGGATGACAAACTGCTACTTTTTTATTTTTTGTAACAAGCGACACGACGAAGGAGTTGTGAAGTTTTTTGTGCCCATATATCTCCACATTAAAAGTTAGTTCAGAATATCACTGAATTATTCAGAACTTATTTTGAGACTCAAACAAGTTCACTACATAAAATAAAGTAAGTAACATGAACCACTTACGATGGAAAAGATGAAAATATTTAGAAATGATACAAATGCCGTCTTATTATTGGACGAGTATAGCACTAATGGGCGGTTACAATTGCGATGTGGAAAGCAAATGGAAAACTACCACATAACGTTTCCCAAACATACTTCATCATGGTTGAGACATATATAAAAATGGCCCTCAGTGCCCGGCAGGTCTTAAATGATGAAAGGATGCTATATATATCATCAAAGGATGATATATAGTCATTTTACCAAGATAAAGGCTAGAATAAACTTTTGTCACATTGCTTCAGAAAACCCGACCTAAATCTTATGGTGATTAAATAACCATAAGCCTAATGAGCTATCTATTGAAGATCTTTCTGACGATTATACATAAAAGAGTATACCGGAAATACGAAGAAAGACTTAGCGACTGTACCGTCGCATTCTGAAGATCTCGTGGCGTAACAAGGTGACCAACAACGTATTAGTACTCCAGGGGATGGGCAAAGATCTCGAGCTTATTAACACCATTAAGTGCTGCAAACTCTCTTGTATTGGCTACGTTATGAGGAATTAAAAATACGAAGTACTTCATATCATAATTCAGGAAAAAATTACGGGGAAACGCAGTGCTGGAAGAAGGTTACATTCCTGACTTAAGCCTTTAAGGGATTAGTTTGAACGGATCACTACATCCCTGTTCGGAGCAGCAGCCTCAAAAATAAAGATAGCCATGATGCTGTCCGCTAGAAGTGGCATATCAAGAAGAAGACAGCTTCAGTATCAGAGTGAAACTAGAAACAAAGAACAGAAAAACTAGTATTCCGTCAAAACAAGCAGACACATCTTAATTTGACGTTTTCTCTTCTGCCATTGCGAATTCACTTTCATAGGTTAATGGTTTAACTGCAAACTTTACTCCTCTTTTTATAATAAGACAGTAAAATTTTTCAGTTTTATTTAAACCAAGAAATTTTTAAACTGTTGCCATATTGAATTACTATGGTATACAATACACTATTTTAAGCTAGTGAAATAGAAGTACAACAATTTCTATATTTGCATGTGAATAAATAAAAATTTTAAAGACTTTTAATAAATCGATTAAAACAATCCCATAAATTAAAAAATTATATACTAACCAACCTCAAATATAAACGCAAAAACAATAAATTCAGTCATATAAGCCAAATTTGTGACAGTAAATATTACCTACTGATGTTGCAAAAATTGCTCATATGGAACGATTGTGATCCCAATCTGATATTGGGCTACATCGATCTCCACCTAGCACGGCCACTGGATTCCCATGAGACGTTAAAAAAGATGACAAATGGCTCACTCGATATTCGTTGCCGAACGCTTGTGATAAATCAATAAAACTGCCATTATACGTAAGAGGGATACTGATGGGAAGTTGAGATCTAATGAAGTGTATTAAAATGCTTCCTTTTCTACTCGTTTTATGTGATATTTTTCAGATGTTTATTGTAATGGACGTAGACGTCTGTAATTGGTCAAATAATACACCAGATCTGTGAGCGCACGATTATATTTTGAAGATAAAGAAGCTTCAAATTTAGAATGTTAAGCATATTAAGACTTTGCTACTATTTGATGATTAACTTACATTAATGTTACCTTGGGTACTGGCCGAACAGTTAACTAGTAGTTTTGTGAATGGTCAGTGCGCAAGTTTTAGTAGCACGTAATAAGAGTTTGGATCCTTTATAATAATTATATTTATTTCCCAGAATATGTACATTTGGGTGTCAGGTTAACAATATTAAGCATATTCTACCGTCATTGGCGTGTAAACATTAATAAAATAATATTGAATTTCAAATCTGTTACATTTGAAATTCTGTTACTTTCCCTTTTTCACCGACCCAATGTATTTACGACCTTCCTGTGTCGTAAATACAGTGTTAGCCCAATTTATTGGTGCATAATGGCATCTAGTAATGCGTAGACAAACCGCGCCGCTGCGCTCCGTTTCTCCAGTTCAAATTCTTATCAATAAATAAGTTTTAAATGACTACTAAGAAAACACCAAGAAAAGTTTTACATGACTACTCCAAAAAAGATGTGTGTTGTGAGATTTAATGTACCTATTTATGTGACTTTTTCATAACGAGATATAAGTGGGATAACAACTGAAACTAACCTATTGTAATAACAATGATTTATCATACTAATAAATTTTCATTGCCACTTAAGTTCTAAGAAGATTTCTAAAATCCAAGTTACGAAAAGTCACAAAGAAAGCTAAGAGAAGTAATTAAGTTCACGCTTAAGTCACTAAAGACAATAAGTAAAGTCTATTAAGGTTTTCTTTACTTTGGTATTATCTGAAGTAAAGATTAATCTTTAATTTCAAATTAAGACTGCGTAAGGCAAAAAGAGAATGAGGTAAAATCGAAAGGCTAGTTTGTGAGGTAAATAGGGACGGAAGATGGTGGTTTCCGCAAAAGAAGTATCAATCAGTTGTATGAAAATATTTTAATGCATTATAATTGTTATATTGCTCGCTGCTGAAACGTATAATAGTGAATTCACTGATATAGGTTTTTTTCCAATCAGACAACAGTTATTTGTTTGTTAATATATAGAAATGTGGACACATTGTCACCAAAACACAGTAATTTAATTTATCTGTTATGTATCAAAGTAAATAGAAAAAGAAATAAAAACGAAAAAAAACCTCCTTAGTATTTTTTTTGTGTGTAATGTATGTATCATTATGTATATGTATGTATATATATATATATATTTCGTATTTATATAGTTACCCTCGGATAATTGAGGTTGTCTGGAAGAGATCGCTTTTAGCGATAAGACCGCCTTTGCCCTCTTGAAACCATAAATGCTTTGTAAATTGTTGTTATGATGTGTGCAATAAATTGTTAAATAAATAATAATAAATAAAAGACGTTAATCGAAACA